CTCACCACTAACACCGACTCGGGGGGGCTGCATTCCCATCACCAGGCTGCACCTTATGGACGATAAGATTATGCTGCATATAGAATAATCATAACTTAATATTGTATGGTTATTCCAAGCCTTTAGATTATCTTTTTTTCATTTTTCAGAAACTCTAGATTGATTCCTCCAATTTCGATAAAAAATGTCACTAATAACATTATTTTTGTTTCAATTGTAAAGAATTCTTATGTTGTATTGGAGTTTTAAAATAGTATTTAGTAAAATAGTATGTGGTTATGTTCATTCAAAGAGCATACAGCAATATTTGGAGGGACAAAAAAATCAACATGGCTGTTTTATTTTACTAAACATACAAACGGTCCTGATTTTAGTGACTTTAATAAACATATCGTGTACAGATTGGAAATGTTTCCTGTAGGAAAATGCACTTGAATTTATGTCAGGGACAAAAGGTCCAATGTCTTGGCTCCATTTAGCATGTTTTACCTCAGAATAGCATCACTGGTGCACATCATGAAATAAAAAGCCACAAAGACGTCCCGAAATGTTACATTTATACATTTATCCTGCACAAATATGAAATATTTTGCTAAATGACATATATTACAACAAATTATTCCCTTAGCTGCAAAGCAATTGTGGAAATCATGCAACACAGCGGTAAACATTATTCCTTTATTTTTTTGTATACAGCTGCCATCAAACACAGAAATAATTTATACAAAAGAAAAGAAAAGGCTCTTTTTTTTTAACAGTGAAGTTTTTTTCTATTAATTTCACATGTTTGAATACAAATAATGAATTGTAATAATGAGAGTATGATGGTTTTTCCATATCTGAAAAGGACTTGGTTTAATTTCATTATGAAAAAATAAGTCCTTGTCATACATCTTCTCTCATTTGCTTGAAGATTTGAGTAATATTCATATCCACAACCTTTCTATTGCTACCCTCGTGGACTTAAAGGTGTAAGAGCCGGTGTTTCTTTTCAGCCAAATCTTCATATGCATTTCCCTCACCGACAAATTGGCCCCTCTGGGTATTTACGTTAACTGGGGGGGGGATACTGGTGTTGTGGGTCCTGGCCAGATCCTCCGTGATGTGTTTGAGTGCAGGTTCCTTCTTTTGATCGCTTTCTGGTTTAATGAAAGCAGATCCTCACTCGGGAGTCCGAATCAGAGTTTAAAATGTAGATTCTACTACTTTAATGCTTACTTTTTGAATTGAGTGTTGGTTTATTTCTTTATTTATCATATTTCCTAACTGGGCTTCATGATGAGGTGTCTGAAAAAAAGACTTAAAGTTTCCTCCTGATATATCTGTGTATGAAGAATTGGAATATAATTGCTTTGGTCTCTGTCTGAGTCAGAGATGACACTTATATCAAATGTTTTTCTCAAGTTTAGATGAAAAAAACTCCGCTGCTAGGTGGAGAGAAAAGGCTTCTTATTGTGTAAAAGATAAAAAGTTTTAAAATTAACTTCCGTCCTTACAGAAATGTTTGCATTCATTCGGTTCAGGGACAAATAACAGGAACTGGCAAACTCAGGAGAGAAGGAACGGGCTTATTCATGCCTTATAAAATAAAGGGAAGCCAGTTTTAGCCTCTCAAACCATTAACCGTCCAGGATTGCAGAGAGCTGTCGGGGGAAAGTTTTTTTTCATCAACAAATGCTTTTACTTTGTTTACATTAACTTTGACAGATTTATCTCATTTAAAGATGTTAACAACTTCTCATTTTCTTCACTTGGGTTAATGCAACAGTTGTAAAATCGAAGACAAGTTGGCTTTACATTGTTTTAATAAAGCTGTCCAGTTAAAGCCACAGTGCCTTTTTTGCTTGTTGAATCGAATAGCTTTAAAGGCTTTTACGTTGAAAATATAAAATGGAATAGAATGAACACAATTCTCACACAAAGCAGGGGAAGGCTAAAGTAAAAGACACCTTTGACTGTCCCAAAATCAGTGATATCTGATGTTTTGTAAGGTTATATGTGTCTCTAAGAGCAACATATCCATGTGCACATTTACTGTCTTTATTCCCTTTTTAAATTATAATCTCTCACCCAAACTTTGACTGATAATTGGCCTCTGAATCAGTCATTTCATTAAGATGGTTTTCATCTTTCAAACCATCTTGGTTACCGATTACAGAATATATCCACAAAATAACATTTCTACTCTGATTTAATCAACTATGTAACGTACTTATTTCTGAGTGCTACTACTATATTTGGTCTATGTTGCATTCAGCAAATCTACAAATAAATAGTGCACCAATTGGATTGTGTATGTGTGTGTATGCTAAATGGTTGTGTAACGTATGGAGAGAACTTGTACAGGTGATGCTTTTATTTAAATAAAAGCAAAAAAGACTACAACAAGGACACAATCAGCCGTGTTAGTAATGGGAACAATATCTACACAATCCTAACAAAGGAAAAGTATTTCAATAAACCTCCATTTGAAGCTGTTTGTTTTCCCCAGGAAGCTGCCCCCCAGGATTTATCTATACTGATAAAATACTAATCAAATCATGCTGGATTTACACAGCTGGTTAAATTAAAATGTGAATATAGTCTTTTTTTTTCTTTTTTTTTAGAGAAATTAGCTGAAAGATCAAGCTGTGACACAGCAAAGTGCACTATTTCTGCCTCACACTGATGGTGGCCGACAGAAGTTCCTTTGAGTTATTTAAATTTGACGCACGTGCCGCAGATGTGCACCGAGACCGTCGTCATCGTTTAAACTTTGCGTTTGAACCGGTGCCCCACGTATTCTGAATTATTCCGAAATACTTCCGTGCTGGGCCGATTGTCAGAATTTCACTGGGGTTGATGCAGAAT